TTTCTTTCTTTTTTGCCCCCTCTTAGGAGTTGTAAACATGTCTTGGTTCATGGAATATAAGCTCAGGGACCATGAAGCACACTGTGGAAAAATTTAATTTTAAAACTTTGAAAATAATATACAGTGAGAATATGTGAATGCTACTATTGACTGGTGATTTAGTAGAAGATTTAGATCTTGAAAAGCAAGCTTAAAATCATGCAAATGTCTTAAATTGAGGAGCGTGGTCTCTAAACTGGGGTGAACACAAACCAGGGGTGCTCTACATAAGCTATTGAGATAGGAGAAGAAACTAACATAGATCCTAGTTATATTTAATTATCCTTTATATTTTGGATACATTATACCTAGTGGATCAGTAACACATGCACAATTAGCTAAAAAATGTGTATGTATTTTAGTATTCAAACTGTTCCAGTGCTAGGGATATATAATCAAGTAGTTTAAATCTTTCTTATGGCATCTCTTTAAAGTTCTTGCAAGATTATGAATGTGGTCCATGAGTGTATGTGAGTTGTAGCTACAGCCAGAGAGAAAAAGAAAAGAACTAAATGAAACCCAACTATTTTAATTTATCAAAGAATTCATTTGTTTTGCCATGTACCTGATATTAACCACGTAAACAGTGTAGTTCCAATTTTGGAAGGTTGAATTGAGCTGAAAAACACAATGGGAAAGGGTGAGTTCTGAGTATTTGTTTTTTATCTGAATCAAGTTTCTTCCCTCCCAAAAGATAAGTTGTTATTGGAATAAGACCCTGGGAAAATCCTGGAGCGTGAGAGGAGTCAAAGGTAAAGATAACAGTTACTGGACTGTTGTACGCCAGGAAGTTTGCCACTATTATTTCTTACAATCCTCACAACACTCGGTGAGATAGGAATGATTTCTCCCATCTTAGAGATGAAGAGAATGAGTTTCACAGAGATAAAATTGTTTGACCTGGGTCACCCAACGAAGAAGTACAAGGTCCCAGAGTGAACGTACGTCTGTCGTTTTAGAAGCTGACTTTCGTAGTATGATCGGTCTCTATCATGGCTTTCATATTACCTGTGATACTGAGACCTTAGCTCTGACAGTGTCTGCTGGAAGGACTGTCATCATAAACACCTCTCATAGTCTCCAGTTAACAAATAGTACCATATAATAAAATCTATTTTTCTGGTAATTATCAGTTCATAAGAATACTTATAACAGGAAAACTAGAAATTAAAAATAGATGATTCAACAGACAAAAATCTTAAGTTGAATGTTATCAAGCACTCCGTTAGCTATTGTGATTTTTTTTTTTACAGTAACAGACTTCTTCAAAAAGGCAATGGATCCTTCTTGTGCCAATAACAAGCTTTCATGGCACAGTATCCATTAAAAATCACAAACAGAAGCTTTCTTTACAGTGCTCCTGTTTATTGTTTCCAATGGGTTCCTAAGGTCTCGTGTCAAGCATACAGTTATAGACTTTAAGAGAAGTACTTCTGAAACTCAATGTAGGTTGTAGAAAATGCCAGCAAGACATATCAAATTATTTTTTAAATTGTATAGTGTAATAGTGTGAATGAAGAACACCCTTCTATTACCAGGAGTCTGCTTTGATATTTTGTACCTTAAAAGGATCCAATATAATTTAGATTCAGACAAGAATGATCCTATATTGAAAACCATGCAATAGTAACACCGTATTTTTAAAAAATGCAAACACTGTCCTTTATCTAAAGTATCAGGCTCGTCAATGAATTCTAACATTCAGGAGTAATACTATTACCAGGAGCATGTTTGAGAGTGAGTTGATTTCATTGTGTGAAATCATTCTAATTTTAGATGAAGCAAAAAGAAAAAGGCTAGGAAAAGAATGAGATACAAGAATAAAACAGAAAGAGGGAATGAAGACTTTCAAAGGGTATCTTTACATATTCCGATACATATAGAGAGGCACATGCACATTTCATTTTTAGTGAAGCATTAAA